GGCTGGTGGTCCTGGATGGGAAGAAAGCAGGCTGAGCAAGTAAGTCATGAGGAGCAAGCCAGTAAGCAGCCCCCCTCCATGACCTCTGCATCAGCTCCTGCCTCCAGGTTCCTGCCCTGCGTGAGTTCCTGGTCTGACTGCTTTTGATAATAAACTGTTAGCTGTGAGCTAAATAAACCCTTTCTCCTCCCCAAGTTGCTTTGGCCATGGTGTTTCATCACAGCAATGGAAACCCTAACTAAGACAGGGGCATTACCGAGAGACTACAATGACTGTCCACGAAGTAAGGGGTAGGCTGAACATGGGTCGAGAAGCTGGGCTGCAGCCTCTGGTGACTGGTGGGTGTCACAAGGCGGACATGTTCTTGTTTGTATCCATTTACGGAGTGACTCTACCATTAAACTGTCAGAGCACAGGGATGCTTCCCAGGATGGCCTGTGCAGAGCTGTGCTCAGTGGAGGGTTGTGTGGCCCAGATACTGCACAGACCAAGATTTCTGGTCCTCTGGGGTCACACGCTGGGGCTGGGTGGACAACTGGCGGCTCAGCTGGAAACCCGCCTTGCTGCGGTATGTACCTGACAGATGGGTTCTCCTGGTGGGATTTGGCTTCCAGTTCTGTGTACATGTTCACTCACACCCTGCTGTCAACACACACAGATGTTCTACAGGCCTGGGGCTCTGCAGTGATCCCCTCCCCAGGCACACAGCTGGATCTCTGTGCTGTTCTGAGCTGAGTGGTGCCCACAGCTTCTGGGGCTTGTTGAGTCATCCATGCTAAAAAACACCCTGGTCTTCCCAAGAGGGGAACCAATTATGAGAGAAGCACGGTGTATGCCTAAAAACCAAATGGTTAGGCTCCAACAGTGGTGTGCCGTGGACCAGCGACTGACAGTGACCCAACCTCACCATGTGAAGTGGGGAAGTTCCTGCTTCTCCATCACCACTGCCCTTCCAGGTTGAACATCTCAAACTTGAAAATCTGAAACATAGGCGCCATGTGGGCAGAGTGACATACACCTTTAATCCTAGCCCTTGAGGGGCAGAGGCAGTGAGGATCTGAAGTTCAAGGACATCCTTAGCTACATAGTGAGTCAAAGTGCATTCTGGGCTACATAAGACCCCCCTTTTATCTATCCTATCTTATCTATCTGTCTGTCTATCTATCTATCTATCTATCTATCTGTCTGTCTGTCTGTCTGTCTGTCTATCTATCTATCTGTCTGTCTAAGTTCAAGCGCCAATATGATGCTACAAAGGGAAAATTCCACTGCTGATGTCTGGTCCCAAGCACTCCGGGCTCCACTTGTACTCCCATCTTCCATGGGATCACATGCCAAGAAGGTAAATGAGGAAGTGTGAGTGGGGGAAAGGCAGGGTATCCCCAGGGTCGGCAAAGGGGTGATGCAAAAGGCAGTCAGCAGGACCCACTGAGTGCTAAGTGACCAGATTCTATCTAAAGGTGGCAATGAAGACCTAACTATTTCTTAACTAGGGGCTAGGGGCGGCGGCTCTAGTCCTGGTGAGAGAAATAGGGCTGTAACATAAGGTGTGTCCTATCCTTTCTCGATGCACAACCCCACACAGTAGGGACATCCACCGTGCCCATTTCAAAAATGGGGCAAGGACAGTGAGATGACCAAGTCACCCAGCTTGGCAGGTAGCACAGTTAGGATTCAAACCATGACGCCTGGCCCCCAACCTTTACCAGTTTGCTCTAAATAAAAGACAAGTGTGCTGTGAGGACATAGGGAGAGGTGGCAATGGCTGAGCAGTTCCAGGTCAGTGGATGTTTGAGCAATACCAGGGTCCATGTTACAGTGCCTGAATCTCATTAGGAAGAGTCGACGCAAACAGTCCATTGCCCACAACAGGGATCCAGGCCTTGACAATGAAAACCTGTTTTGTATTCGGTGCCAAAGAAGCCAGAGGATTCATGTATTTAACTGAAACGGGCAGTGTGTATCTAGAGCTATTACACTCCGCCGGGCCCTAGTAACCTGCCCTGCTTTTAGGAGTGTTTAATAGGCATGCTTCTTTTCCCTTGGGGGAATAGTGAATGGGACTCATATATTGAAATTCTTGGTGTGCATTCTCTTTTATTTTTATACCATGGCATGTCAAGGCAGGTGCATGGGCGTGCACACTGCTGTCAATACAGAAGAGTCACAACAGCCTAATGCGTGTGAGCAGAGGATAGGTTGAGTGAATCTGGATGACCCGGTCCAGGAAGGACAAAGCGCCTGTAGGAAAAGTGAGAGAGAGCAGTGGAGAAGAACTGTGAGATGTCCACGAGCCAGAAGCAGGAGAACGAGAATGCACACTGACTGTGTGCCGACAGCCCGAATGCGTGCTTACAGTATGCTAAGCACACGGCCAGGGCTTTATGCTCCAACTGCTGATGCAACCCTTGCCTTAAAGCTGATGCACCGTGTGTGATGGTGCATGCCTTACTTCAGCACGCATGGGTTGACCAAGAGTTTAAAGCCAGCCTGAGCTACACATGAGACCCTCTTATAAAACAGAACAAACTCTGGAGACTCACTAGTTCCAGTCGGGCAGTCCCTGTATCAGCCTTGATCTCTGGCCATGGTCCCCAAACCATCTGTATCTTTACCCAAAGCAGAGTCCTAAGGCCTGGTGATCCGCTCAGACCCTACCACGCAGAGGCTGAACTCACTCTAAGGCTTACACTGCCACATCTCCGTTGTTTTATTTTGTTCTCTTGTACAGTTGAGTTCATATAGGTTAGAGGCTCGTGTGATCATGTGCTCAGAGAGAGAGGGGAAAAACAGCAGCAAATGAGTCAGCGCCTTGAGAGCTGTGCCGCTAGCTCCTGGAGGTCTCCCCTGCACAGCAGCTGCAGCATCGAGGACTGAAGCGAAGACCACCCAGGCTCCATTCTGACTGCCACCAAACGAGCTAGATCTTGGGCACACAGAAGAGCCTTTCTATGTCTCCAATTCCTATCTTTAAGATGGAGAAGATGATATGGCTTCAGTCTGAGCAAAGTCCTACATCTGTTTATGTCAGGGCTCAGCACACTCATTGCACGGTGACATATACCACTATACCAAGCAAATCAAATGTGGCCTTGTAACGGCTCCTTCTGAATTCTAGGAATAGCAAGCCCCCTTTCCCAGAGCCCAGAGCTTGAGGTGGGGAGGTGGCCGGCCCCTGGAGCACCTGTGGGACCGGATGAGTGAGGGAAGGAGTCACACCTCCCCCAGAGCACATGTGGCCTGAACATCTTGTTCCAATCTGGACACAGTCCCACTCTCTCCAAATGTAACTCTGAAATGCACAATTGGAAAGAGATGCTTCCTGGCCATGAGTTTAGGAATGGCCACCCAGGAGCAACAGCTATGTCCTAGAAAGGGGGAGGTATGATAGAGCCAGGCCTCAAAGGCAGGAGGAAGAGCCTGTAGGGGTGACTACATGTTGGGGGACATGGCCTCTGCTCCAGGCTGCCTGTGGGTGTCTCACTAGCAAGCTCACTGGCAAACTAGAGCACAGGGGTCCGTGGCTGCTGTTCCTCACTGCTGCCCAATGTCTCCACTATCATCATAAGGGGCAACAGTGGGTGCGTGGTTCACACAGGCTATAGCCAGGCTGAGCCCACAGATGAAACACTTAGGGGTCCCCTGTAAGGCTTGCTCCTGTGGCCAGGCTAGGCTCCTGGGCAGAAGATGGCGTCCTATCAGCATGGAGCCTGACTTGCAAGCTAATTCCAGCTAATTGCCACCGAAACCTGCTAAGATCACATCTGTTGGGCCTGGAGATTAAATCAATATTTGACAATCTTGATTAAACACAGCCAGGGAATCCTTGTAAAAGAACAGCTGTTCAAGCCCCATCCTATTCCGGGGGGTGGGGGTGGGGGAGCGCTGGGCTGGAGTCTTCACCTGAGGACGGCTGTGCACTGGGAGGGTAGTGGGGGCAAGCGGAGACCCCAGGAGAGTGATCAGAAAGGGTTCTGTGGGGAGAGAGAGAGAGGGGTGCTAGACGCACCCTAAACTGAGCCTTGTCTCTTAGGTAGCATTCTCCTGCCACAGTGGTCTATCCTAAGTGATCCCTGACCCCTGACTGCCATATTCTTGTCAGAACACAGGAAACCAACCCCGGGGCTCAAGCCTCTATTTACCACCAAGTGGACACTTGGGCAAAATGCACTCAAAATAGGGAAAATATCCAAGATGGACCACAGGATGGGAGAGGAAGAGTGGGTTTTCACTCCTGGGTTTGGCTGACTCCAAGGTCGGCCCTATGACCCCTCGGCAGTACAGCACCTCTTGATAGCGCCAGGTATCACAAGTGGGAGAAGCCACCCCCCCCCCCTCCGGTCTGTGGAGCTGAGGCCCAGCTGCAGCCTGCTCCATCCAGTCCCTGAGTCTTCCCACAGCAAGGCAGTCTCCACCCCCAAACCCCACCAGTCTCTCCCTTTTCAGATTTTGCTTCTCAACAACAAAATTGCCTTTATACCCGCTGATCCTACATGGCACTTCTAGGGGGTGCTTACTATCTCCCCCACTTTAGAGTACAGCCCTGGGGCTCAAAGCAGCAGCCACCCACTGAAGATCACAGAGAGACCAAAGGTACCAGTGGGACTCGAACCTTGGCACATCAAATCCACAGCCATCATAAACAATGTCCACGAATACAGGCCTAATAAATGCCTGCCCCAATCTCTGGTGACTTTGGCAGAAATCCTCAGGCTCTGCTATCAGCCTGCAGGGGGATCAAATTGCAGCCCCACTAAGTATCATAGAGAATGACAGTGTCACCTGTCAGCCTGCTAGCTTACCTAGCAAGAAGGTTCCCAGGAGGCACTTCATACAGTAAATGGTACACCATAGACACCGGTCACACACACACACACACACACACACACACACACACACACACACACACACACACACACACACACCCCTTAGATACACTTATGTCCTCTGGAACTGGGGTTTGTAACGGCTGTAAACTGCCATCAGGGTTCTGGAACTGTACCTGAGTCCAGGTGATCTGAACTGTTAAGCCATCTTTCCAGCCCCACTGGGGATTCAGCTCTTGCAACAGTGAGGCGGACCTGACAATACATTGAAGCGGGGAAGGTGCCAGACATCCAGAGGCCTTCCAGACACTGGCCACTCACTGCTCTACCTCTGGCTCCCAGAATGGTGCTGAGGTAAGGTAGCAAGTCTTCCCCATGGAAGCAGGGAGAGGCTGAAGAGACGGCTGGGGGGTAAAGAAGTGCAGGCTGTGCAAGTGTAAGGGCGAGAGTGTGAACCCCACGATCCACATAAAAGCTAGGCATGGCGGCGTGCACCAGTAACACCAGACAGACCCAGGCAGATCCCAGGAGTCTGTGAGCCAACCAGGCTAGCCTAAAGGGTGAGCTGCAAATCCACGAGGAGCCCTGCCTCACAAAAACGTGCAGAGCGATGGAACCTGAATTTGATCTCTGGCTCCCACAGGCACATGCACCTGTACATACACATACATATTCCAACCCCCAAAGCAGCAACGAAAGCTGCATGCCCACTACTGGTCTGCAGTTTAGGCAATGCTTGTGATCTGGTCTCACCCTTGCTCAGAAACAATCTTTCAAAGGAATTGGTTACTTTGATCAGAGAATAAAGTTAAAAAAATATTAAAAACCAACTGTAAGAATATGGAGTTCAAAAGAATGGCATATTATCTTCTGTATTAAAAAAAGCATGGGACTGGAGAGATGGCTCAGTTATTAAGAGCACTGGCTGCTCTTCCAAAGAACCCAGGTTCAATTCCCAGCACCTACATGGCAGCTCACAACTGTCTGTTGTTGTAGAATATTATTATAAGGTGTGTTACTTGTGTTTATGTTGCATTTGTTTAACTCTGTGAAGCTGTGTTACTGTGCCTGTCTAAAACACATGATGGTCTAAGAAAGAGCGGAATGGCCCATATCGAGGCAGGAGAGAGAAACAGGTGGGGCTGGCAGGCAGAGAGAATATATAGAAGGAGAAATCTGGGAGGAGAGGAGAGATCTAGGAGAAAGAGAAGGAGGAGGACTCCAGGGGCCAGCCACCCAGCTATACAGCAAGCCATGGAGTAGGAGTAAGATTTACAGAAGTAAGAGAACTGGAAAAGCCCAGAGGCAAAAGGTAGATAGGCTAATTTATGAAAAGCTGTCTATCAACAAGCCAAGCGAAGGCCCAGCATTCATAATTACGAATAGCCCTCTGTGTGTAATTTATTTGGGAGCTGGGTGGTGAGCCCCTCAAAAGAGCAAAAACAAACAACTGTCTGTAACTCCAGTCCCAGGGCTTCTGACACCCTCACACACACATGCAGGCAAAACACCAACGCACATGACATAAAAATCAATTAAAAAATAATAGGATTAAAAAAAATGCCGTTTTGTAACCATTTACCTCCCTCCCTTCAATCTAGGTCAACACAGTGGAAAGATCTAGAAAGTTGACAGTGGTTCTGGTGGGTGGGGAGTGTAGGTCTTCAGAATCCTCAACCCTGAAGCTCCCCAATGTGAGTTCCCATCCTGCTACTGGCCAGGATGATGCTTCGGATCAAAGCACTTGGGAAAGCCTCTGCTGTACCAATGTGGGTGGGTTCTTCTTGTTTTTTTGTTTTGTTTTGTTTTGTTTTGTTTTATTAAATGAAATGTCATTAAATGAAATGTCATTAAATGAAATGTCATTAAATGAAATTTAGAGCAGAGTGTGATGGTGCAGACTGTAATCCCAGCACCTGCAAGCTGGAGGCAGCTGGATCAGGAGGTCAAGGACATTGCATTAGTTTGAAGACAGCATGGGCTACATGTTAAGCAAGCATGTAGCCAACTGAGCTACATTTCTAGCTCTAAACAATGTCAAATGTACTTGTCTTAGATATGTAGCTTTTTCTGAGTGGTTCTATCTGAAGATTACACACACACACACACACACACACACACACACACACACACACTCTTTCATACATGTATGTAATGTATACTGATGGTATCACTCTCCTGATATCCTGAAATAGTCCTCATCCCTATTTTTAAAAAAGAATTCACTCAGCTAGGCAGTGGTGGTGCACGCCTTTAGTCCCCGTATTCAGCAGGCAGAGGCAGGCTGATCTCTGTGAGTGCAAGGCCAGCCTGGTCTACAGAGGAGTTCCAGGAAAGCCAGGGCTGCACAGAGAAACCTTGTCTCGAAAACCAAAACCAAAAACTGAACAAAAATTAACCCCCTACTTAGTCCAATTAGTGCTGCCTGAGTTCGCATGGGCGTGGGCTATTCACTACTCTCCCTTCCTTAGTAGCCAATAGCTGCTAGGGGTGGGGCCTTGTTAGACACGTGACTTTTTAAAATGTATTTATTTTTATTTATGTGTACATATGTGTGTGTAAGTGTCTGCATGACTTTATGGGTACAGGAGGTTTCAGATGCCCTGGAACTGGAGTTCCAGGTAGTTGTGAGCAGCCTGGCGTGGGTGCTTGGGACCGAATCTGGATGGGTCTTCTAGACCTTAACCAGTAAGCGCTCTTAACTGCTAAACCATCCCTCCACCCTAATTTTTTCTCAGCCATTAGATATGTCTTTGGAGACCTGAGGATTTGTTCTGTGTCTGCATATGCACCTATTCTGACTGGTGTGTGAGATGTCACATGTGAAACCATGCTAGACAGTCCCCTTGGCCTGTAATTCTTTCTCTCCTTTAGTCGACACACACACACACACATACACACACACACACACACACCCCTGCCACACCACGGGCAGGGTCTGTGTGGACCTGTTGGGGAAAGGACACTTCTGAGGCAGGAGGGGCCAGGAGAGCAGGGCTGTGCCTACAGAGGCAGTCTGAGAGCAACTTATCACAGGTCATCGGGGGACAGAGGAAGGGACCTCCACCCACCTTCAAAAGGGAGGTTGGCTCCTGCTTTCCTGCTCACAGTAAGGATGGGGCACAGACCACAAGGGACGGCAGGAACATGAAGTCTCTGGTAGGGTTACAGTTTCTTCTCAAGCCCATTGGACTGGCTAGCAGATAGTGAGAGCTGCCCCAGGGCAGTGCCGCAGAGACGGGGGTCTCAGGCCAGGTGGGGGTGACAGGCTGCAAGAGGCACAACACACACACACACACACACACACGCACACGCACACGCACACGCACACGCACACGCACACGCACACGCACACGCACACGCACACGTACGCGTGCACGCACGCACACTCTTCTATTCACGAAATGAATAGTCCTTAGATCTTCTTTTTTTTTTTTTTTTTTGGTTTTTTCGAGACAGGGTTTCTCTGTGTAGCTTTGCGCCTTTCCTGGAACTCACTTGGTAGCCCAGGCTGGCCTCAAACTCACAAAGATCCGCCTGACTCTGCCTCCCGAGTGCTGGGATTAAAGGCGTGCGCCACCACCGCCCGGCAGATCTTCTTGTGTAATCAATGATAAACCAGAGCTGGGGGTGTGGCTTAACTATTAGCATAGTCCTAGCCTAGCATGCAGCAACCCTGGGCTTGATCCCCAGCACCATATAAACTGGGTATAGTGGTCTCCCCATCCCTGTAATCAGGAGATGGAGACAAGAGGATCAGTAATTCAAGGTCATTCTTTTCTTCAAAAATAAAACTAACCAACTAACCAAGTGACAGTTTTCTACATCAAAGCCAGCCTTAGCCCATTCCAGAGAGGGACATCTATTAAAGTTCTTCCCCTCCAGGATCCCAGCAGACCCCAGGGCAGGCAGTGCCACTCCCACTGCAAATGAGGTGACAGAGGACAGAGTGATGTCATTCATTATATCCCTTCTTAAACCAGCACCTACAAAGTGAGGATGGACTCCGCTAGTGCTGTCCCCTAGGACACCGTGGCTGGTGGGTCCATTCAAACTCACTCTTTTTCATGGAGACAAGTTTGCCAAGGGCTGGGTCAGCAGGATGAAGAACCCAAACAGCAGCTCTGGGGCCTTAATTCTAGTTATCAAAGGTAAACGGGGGGTGGGGTGGGGGGTGAGGGGGGTGGAGAGGTGTCTGGTGGGGGCAGGGGAAGACACCTGTGTCAAAGATTGCTTTCATAATAAAAAGGAGTAGCCTCATCCAGCATTTCCTTTCCACCCTCTAGAATTTGAATGCCCACCAGGAGGTTCAGCAGCCACCTTGAAGGCGTGAGCTGAAGGCACAAGCTGAGAAGGCCAGGTGAGGACTTGAAAGCTGCCTCCCCCCCTCCAGGCGGCGCTGCACTGGTGGCCCAACTTCTTACCCTCACTGTTCTCTTGTTCATGGAGAAAGGTGCAGTCTCGAAACAGTACGCCTACCAGTGTCCTCTGGTTATAAAGAAGGACACTGAAGTTCAGCATGGTCATCTCCAGCCAAGGTTACAATGCCAGTCCGAAATCTTAACCATGGTCCCTTGGTGCCTGGGATCAGGGTCACCAGCACTGGCTCTGAAGAAACTTTCCATTCCTTCTGCTTCTTTGCCAAGTCCTCTCCTTGTCAATACCCCTCCCCAGCCAGAGGCAGGTGCTTTGCAGAATGTGGATACACACACACACACACACACACACACACACTCATGCGCACATAGTACGCACACACCCTACTTCTGGTACCAATTTGACTTAGTTAGCGTTTTTTTATGGCTGTAATGAAACCATAACTAAAAAGCAAGTTGGGGAGGTAAGGGTTTATTAGGCTCACACTTCAGCATTACTGAAGGAAGTCAGGGCAGGAACTCACACAGGGCAGGAACCTGGAGGCAGGAGCTGATGCAGAGGCCATGGAGGGGAGCTACTCATTGGCTTGCTTCCTTATGATATGACTTGCTCAATCCACCTTCTTACAGAATCCAGGACCACCAGCCCAGGGATGGCACCACCCACCATGGGCTGGGCCCTCCCCTCAAGATGACTAATTGAGAAAATGCCTTACAGCTGGGTCTCGTGGAGGGATTTCCACGGAGGCATTTCCTGATCTGAGGCCCCTTCTTCTTTGATGACAGTAGCTTGTGTCAAGTTGACAGACAAAACCAGCCAGTACAACTGACCCCTTGTCAACTTGACACACAAATGCATCACTGTTAAATCCTTCCTTTCTTATTTATCCCCAAGATCTCACATTAAAAAAGCATAAATAATTTTAAAAGTCCTACAGTCTTTACGAATTCAAACACATTAAAATTTCAGTCTCTTTAAAATAGCTAATCTCTCTCTAAAAAAAAAAAAAATCCCAAATCTCTTTTAAAAGTATAAGTCTTTCAGCTGTGCGCTCCTTTAAAAATCAAAATTAAATACCTTCTTCATGAGGGAAGAACCAGGGCACTGTCATAATCTGAACCCAAGCAAAACCAAACTCCAACAGTGTAAATCACTTCATGTCCAATTATCTGTGATTCTCTAGACCCCTGCAAAGAGCGATGATCACTTCTCCAGCTCTGCCCTCTGCAGCACACACAGACGTCTTCTTTGCCACTGAAGGGATGATGTGCTGACAAGGTGAGGGCAAGAAGGCAAAGAAGGAATATGCCCCGCTGCGAATGCGCATGCACACATGCACTCATGCACACATGCACTCGTGCACGTGACACATGGAGCCACCAGCCTTGGTGTCCTGGGAGATACAGACACTGAAGTGAGGAGTGTGGGCTGGAGCAGTCTCGTGGGCAGGAGCCTGGGTAGAAGGAGAACCAACACCCGCTACCCACTTGTCCATGACCCGAGGCAGGCAGTGACCCTGAATCAAGCCTCACAGATTTATAGGGACACAGGCAGGTGGGCACTCCCTGAAGCACTTTTTGCTGTGGTGTGAATCGGTACAACTTAGGACCTCACACTAGAGGACTAGCCATGTGAGGTGTGGCAGGGAGCGCCAGGTGGCTTTGGGCCATCACTGCTGGTACATACCTATGTAGCTAGCTCTCAAACACACGCTGTTGGGTGAAAACCATGGAAATCAGAAACACACATCCAAGGCCCGTTCTGGAAGCCGATGCTTGTTTGTTTGTTTGTTTGTAGACAGGGTCTCTCTACATAGCCCAGGCTGTCCTTACTCTGTAGACCAGGCTGGCCTCGAACTCAGATCTGCCTGCCTTTGTCTCCCGAGTGCTGGGATTAAAGGTGTTCACCACTTCCCTTGAAGGATGATCCCTTACTGAATATATTCTGTGAGGATAGGTCTAGAGCCACAGCCATACCATAGACACTTTGAAAAGAGGTAGTAGTAGCTAGAGGGGTAGAGAAACAAGGAAGGAAATATCCACTGACAGAAGGAGGGAGTCATTTTTTCCTAGCAGCAGACAAGCTGTGTGGCAGTAGCCTCTGCCTCTCTTCCTGTGGGGATGTGAGGGTGAAGGAGGCATGCAGGAGGAGCGGGACACACAGCACAGCACTTCTTCAAAGAAAAACCACACTGCTTTGTTCTTAAAAGCCACCAAATCTGTTGGTCCTGATGTGATCTGTGAGTGTGTGCGCTCCAGTCAGGAACTGAGCAGAGGCCTCGCCACCCTGTGGTGGGCACTGAGGTGCCGGCCCAATTCCCACTTCCCAGCTCTGGGAACGGGGATTCTAATTGGTCAAAGGCAACAGGATGAGTTGTTTCTCTCTGATCTGACTGGCCAACTGGCAGGGACACATGACCTAAGCTGGACCAATTGCAGCCAGAAAGGATGTATAACTCAAGAGGGAAAGGTCTTTTAATGTGCTTTCTCTCAGTGCCTACAGACAAGAAAGCACGTGGCTCTAGATGTCACTGGAAGCCATTCTGGGACCTAGGGACATGAGGAGGAAGCCAAGATTGAGGACTGGTATCTGTGACACACATGTTGAGCTGCTGATTACATCCAGTCTGATGTCACCCACCTCTGGACTTCTAGAATATATGAAAGGGCTTTCCTGTTTGGCCAGATGGTGCCAGTGTGCTAGCTATTTGCAAGCACAAGAATCTTGATGGAGATGTGCATGCTAGCCAGCTGTCTTTGCTTTGTTTTTTTAAGACAGGGTCTTGCTATATAGCCTAGGTTGTTGGGCTTGAACTTGTGATCCTGCTGCCTCAGCCTCCTGAGCACTGGGATTACCATGTGTCACTACACCTGGTCAGCCAGTTACTTTTTGAGTATTAAAGAAAAATCTCTACAAGAGGTAAACGGGCAGCAGCAGTAGGAACAGGAAGGCCAATCTATCCCTGTGTAGAGAGATGATCTGCGGTTCTCAAGGGGTGTGTCCCCCACGCAGAGGGCACAGAACAGTCCTCGGTGGTGTCCCGTGTATGCAGGGCTCAGGGAAACACCAGCAGTGGCTCACTGCATTCTCCCCATCTTCACAACAGCTGCAGCGCTAGCTACAGTAGGTTCCCGTGTCCCCAGCTGCTGGGCTGAGGATGAGAGACAGCCCTGAAGCCGGCTGGCTCCTCCAGCAGCTGCTCTGTTCCTGCATCAAAGGTCGGACTTTAGGATCTGGGCCACTGCTGTGAGCTCTGAGAAGGCACATGGCCCGAGGACCTCAGCGCGTGGACCTCCCAAGCCTCCGAACATCCCATCGCCCCGTCAGGGAGAAGAGTGGAAAACAAAGGGATGCTCTCTCTGAACCCAGCCTGCCCTGGGTCTAATCGCTGTGCTATCTAAGCAGCTGGGTGCCTGGACCTGAAAAGCAATGACACACACAGCTTGTCACGTGGATTTGGAAAGCACTTGGCAGAGAGTGCCAGGCACACGGCCTCCTCATCACTATTGTTATCCGACAGTGTGTAGCTATGTATTTCACCACTGAAATACAGTCCCATGCAGTAAAATGCACCTGTTTTAAGAATACAACTGATGGTTTGTGTGGGGGTTGGTTTTCTTTTTCTTTTCTCTTGTTTTTTCAAACAGGGTCTCAGACGTTGGCCTGGAGCTTCCTAGGAAGCTGAGGATAATCTTGAACTTCTGATTCTCCTGTCTTGGCCTCTGAAGTGCTGGGATCACAGGTGTGAGCCACCATATCCAGTATATTAGCTACTTCTCTATCCTGTGATAAAACACCAAGGCAACTTACAGAAGGGAGGGTTCATTTGGTCTTATGGTTCCAGAGGGGCAGAGGCCATCACTATCATCGTGCGGAAGTGTGAGCAAGCACCAGACATGGCAGCAGGAAGAGCCGAGAGCTACTCCAAATGACATCCCTAGTGACTTACTTCTCCAGCAAAGCTGTACCTCCTAAGGCCTTCCCAAACAGTGCCACTAACTGGGGGCCAACCATTCAAATGCCAGAGTCTGGGGGGGGGGTACTCAAGCCACCAGAGCCAGTGACAGAATTCTGACACGTCTACAACTGTCCAGCTCCAGATGACCCATACTGAGTAAATTCCACCCCCACCCCACCTCAAACAAGCTCCTCTTCCTTGCCCTGCTTCTCAGGAAAGGGTCTCACGGGCACTCCTGTGTTTGGGGCCTTGTGGAGGCCCAGGGGTGAAGATAAACCTGTTTCCACAGGCTGACATGGAGCCAGGGCAGCGAGCGTGCGTGTGACACGAGGGTGCACGGGTGTCACAGGGAGTGTGTGTGTGGAGACACGAGGGTGCACGGGTGTCACAGCGAGCGTGTGTGTGGAGACACGAGGGTGCACGGGTGTCACAGCGAGCGTGTGTGTGGA